TGTTTTCGGAGGAGTCTAACATATTTCAAAACAGCGAAAAAGATGCAATAAGGTGATGCAAGTCTTAATTTAAACAAGAAAAGTTGAATATTTTGATTTCTTTGATCACTTCCTGTGACGACCGGAAGTGACGGCTGACAGTTTAACCCAAATGATTTTGCATACTCTTCAAGGTCTATTACTCATATAAGTTTGTTTTCTTAATCTCATACCGTTTCTGAGATCTCGCTCAGATATTTTCTCACTTTGAGGACAGAAAAACACGCGACCGGAAGTGAATTTTGCAAAGATATTTGATGTTACTCTAGACATTTGCAATGTGAATAAAATATCTAAAAATCATTTCAAATACTTTACTTATAAAAGATATTTATGGGAAAGAAAAATACTCAAATTATGTAGTTTTTCTCTTATAACCTCAAGTTGTCGTTTTTGTTTCCGGTAGGACCAACATATTTCGAAACTGCGAAAGAGAAGCAATAAAGTGATGCAAAATTTGATTAAAAAAAGAAAAGTTGAAATTTTCGATTTCTTTGAACACTTCCGGTGACGACCGGAAGTACTGACGACGAAAACCAAGGTAATTTCGAACATCTAGAAGTCATGGTCTATCATCTCTAACAAGTCTCCAGTTCATATCTTTAGCCGTTTCTTAGATCCTTCGAGGACAAAATTTCATTTTAAAATCAGGAAATTGTCCATAACTTGGCACTGGAACCGAATTTACCAAGAAACGGAATTTTATATAAACTTCATATAGAGACCTTTTATCCCTGAAAATTTCAAAGAAATTCATTGAATAGTTTTCGAGAAATCGCGTGCACAAAATTTTGCCTAAAAAAAAAAAGAATAATAATAAGAAACAATAGGATCACTACAAGGTCTTCCGTGGAGACGAAAGACCTTAATAATAATAATAAGAAACAATAGAATCACTATAAGGTCTTCCGTGGAGACGGAAGACCTTAATAAGAAGAAGAAAAAGAAGAAACAGTAGAATCACTATAAGGTCTTCCGTGAAGACGAAAGACCTTAATAATAATAATAAGAAGAAGAAACAGTAGAATCACTATAGGTCTTCCGTAGAAAACGGAAGACCTAATAAGAAACAATAGAATCACTATAAGGTCTTCCGTGGAGACGGAAGACCTTAACTAGTAGACTAATTGTTCTCGAACAATTAGAGGTCTTTCCACCTTCTTTGAATTTCATATATTCTTCACATTTAACTCTCTACTGCTTATTTTTATACAAAAGAAACCAGAAATGGCTTGAGAAATAAAAAAAATGAAATTTTTAAAATTTCTGAAATGACCTTGACCTTTAACTTTGAACACATATTCAAGGTCAAAGGTCAAGGGTCACATTGCAATTAACCCCATCCTTCTGCAACTTTAAGTTTTAAAGTTATAAGGTTTACTAGTAAGCGCAAAGACGTTAAAAGGCAATAACTCATATAAGGTGTCACCGGATACTTTCACACTGATGGATTAAAGTTGTGTTAAAAGACCCTGAGTACATTAGTGAAGGATTCGTGTCTCTGCGGTTTACGGTTTCGGAGGAGTAGCGATAACAAGGTTTTTCGCACAAGGGGCAATAACTTTTAAAAGGGCTAAGCTTAGGGGACAAGATTGAAATTTTTGAAATAGTTTTAAAAGTACATATAAAAGATGCAAAGATATATTGTATATGTTGAAAGACAAGAGAGCTATAAAAAGAGCTTTATTTCTCATATTTGGAATGACCTTGACCTTTGATCTTGACATAATCTTCAAGGTCTAGGGTTAAATAATTTAATGCAGTTGGTTTCATGTCTCTACGACTTATCGTTTTAAATTTTTTTTTTTCATTATTTGTAAACTTCAAAAACTTTCAGGGGCAATAACTCATAAAAGGGCTCAACGAATCCTTTCGTAATGAATAGATTGAAGAGTCTTCTCAATTAGTCGAAGACATTGGTGAAGGTTTCGTAACTCTACGGTTTACAATTTCGGAGGAGTAGCGATAACAAGGTTTCTAGTGAAAGGGGCAATAACTGCGAAAGGGGTCATAGGTTATATGCATTGGGTCAAATTTGTTCATAAGTTTTAATGACCTCTACGATGAACAAAAAATCTTTTCGATAAATATCGAAACAAAATAATCAGCGGAAGAAAAATAATAAGAAAAAGAATAAGAATAATAATAAAAATAAACAGAAGAAAATCAATAGGTTTTTCCACAGAAAGGTGGAAAGACCTAACTAGTAGAGTAATTGTTCTCGAACAATTAGAGTTTTTCCACCTTCTTTAAATTTCATATATTTCTCATATTTTACTCTCTAAAGTTAATTTTTATACAAAAAGAATCCATAAATGGCTTGAGAGATAGAAAAAATGAACATTTTAAAAAAATTGAAATGACTTTGATCTTTGACCTTGAATAAATATTGAAGGTCAAAGGTCAAGTGTCATATTGCACTTGACCCACTGCTTCTACGACTTTCAGTTTTAAAGTTATAAGGTATAATAGTAAGCACAAAGACGTTAAAGGGCGATAACTCATATAAGGGGTCATCGGATACTTTCTCACTAAATAGACTGAAGTTGTGTCTAAAGACTCTTAAGACATTAGTGAAGGTTTCGTGTCTCTACAGTTTACGGTTTCGGAGGAGTAGCGATAACAAGGTTTCAGTAAAAGGGGCAATAACTTTTAAAGGGGTAAATCTTAGGGGACAAATATGAAATCTTTGAAATGGTTTTAAGAGGACATATTAATGATTAAAGATATTTAGTATATGTTAAAAGACAAAAGAGATATAAAAAGAGCTTAATTTCTCATATTTGGAATGACCTTGACCTTTGACCTTTGTATATATTTAAGGTCAAAGGTCAATGAATCTCATGCAGTTGGTCCCATGTCTCTTTGACATCGTTTTGAATTTTTTTTCTTATTTGTAAACATCAAAATCTTTCAGGGGCAGTAACTCATTAAAGGGGCCAACGAAAACTTTCGCAATGAAAAGATTGAAGAGTCCTCTCAATTAGTCGAAGACATTTGTGAAGATTCCGTTCCTCTACGGTTTACGGTTTTTGTAGGAGTAGCGATAACAAGGTTTTTCGTACAAGGGGCAAGAACTCCGAAACGGGTCATAGGACATACTCGTTGGGTAGTTTTTCGCAATAACTTTTGATCTTGAGTATCATGAACTATAAAATTTTTCGATAAGTCCTTCGGTTCAAAAGGCCGTAGCGGAAAAATAATAACTAGGAGACTAATTTTTCTTGAACAATTAGAGGTCTTTCCACCTTCTTTAAATTTCTTTAATTTTTTTTTATTATACTCTCTAAAGTTAATTTTTATACAAAAAGAATCCATAAATAGCTTGAGAGATAGAAAAAATGAAAATTTTAAAAATTTTGAAATGACCTTGACCTTTGACCTTTACAACATATTGAAAGTCAAAGGTCAAGAATCACATTGCAATTGTTTCCATGCTTCTAGGTCTTGTACTTTTGAAGTTATAAGGCCTACTGTTAAGTGCAAAGACGTTAAAGGGCAATAACTCATATAAGGGGTCACTGGATCCTTTAGCACTGAATAAATTGTAGTTGTGTCTAAAGACCCTGAAGACATTAGTGAAGAATTGATGTCTCTACAGTTAGGGGACAAGAATGAAATCACTGAAATAGATTTAAGAGCACATATTAATGATGCAAAGACAGATAGTATACGTTGAAAGACAAAAGAGATATAAAAAGAGCTTTATTTCTCATATTTTGAATGACCTTGATCTTTGACCTTTGTATGTATTTTAAGGTCAAAGGTCAATGAATCTTATGCAGTTGGTCTCATGTCTCTACAACTTATGGTTTTGAAAATTTCTAATTATTTGTAAACATCAAAAACTTTCAGGGGCAATAATTCATAAAAGGGGTCGATCAATACTTTCGCAATGAAAAGATTGAAGAGTCTCCTCAATTAGTCAAAGACATTAGTGAAGGTTCCGTACCTCTACGGTTTACGGTTTCGAAGGAGTAGCGATAACAAGGATTTTCGTACAAGGGGCAAGAACTCCGAAAGGGGTCATAGGTCATACTCGTTGGGTAGTTTTTCGAAATAACTTTTGATGTCGAGTATCATGAACTATAAACTTTTTCGAAAAGTCTTTCGGTTCAAAAGGCGGTAACGGAAAAATAATAATAATAAACACTAGGAGACTAATTGTTCACAGAACAATTAGAGGTCTTTCCACCTCTCTTTATTTTTTTAGAATATGTTTTCTTTTCTTTTCTTTTTTTTCTGCTTTTCAACAAACAAAAGAATGCAAAATGACGACCCAAAACTTCATCTGCACTTATTAAAAGTAACCAAATACATCAATTGATAACTAAAGGAATTTTTGTGTTTCAAAGACTTATTATTTCTGGATGGGAGAAATAAATATGTTTGTTGCAATGAACTCTGAAGTCTTAAAAGTACGTACCTAAAATTAAATGAAAAATTTTACTTCGACTTGAAAATCAAATTAGAAAAACTTCTTTGTGATTAATGTTGGAAGACATAACTTATCATGTAAAATGGAATGATTATTAATTTTCAAGAGCTTGTAAAAATATAAGATTTCCAAGCCAAGGAGATAATTAGGGAGGGAGCTTCAAACCACTAACGTGTGCTTCTATTTTTTTTTTTAATTTCACATACATACACTATGGACGTACACGTATGTATAAAGTAACATACATATTTAACTTAATGACTTTTTACACTCCAAGAGTTTACTGGTATTTGTTCAGTACATAAATGCATAGTACTGATACGTCATTAAGTCATGTATTTTCTTAAAATAAAAACGTTCTATTAAATTTTACAATTAGTTAAATTCTTAAGTGATTACACCAAAAACGACAAGGATTAAAAAAAAAACAAAAACTGAACATCCATTTCCGGAATATGATCCGTCTTTCAACCGCGTTTTATTTCAATATTTCTATTTCCCGGTTGTGAAACCACGTTTCGCCACGTTTGCTGAGTTTGTGTACCTTGTTGATATTCGTGGATTCTGAACAGAAAATCCTCTTTGAATTCATACATACACGCCTGTGAAGTAAGTATATGATATGTGGTTGTTAATTTATTGTTATTTATGGAAAATGATTGTAAAAAAGGACATAGGAAGATACCATTACATGTACCACGTAAGCGGCCATCACCTGATCACAACTGAGCACTACTGCATATACGCAAATCAACAAAATTCTCAAACAAGTCTATGATTATGCTAGAGCTTTAAAAATATACTTTATTTATGGAAGCTCATAAACATGGGATTTTTATGTATTTTTTTACAAGTTACAACAATACATAGTTGAATTTATGTCTCTGTCATAGAAAAATGTAAGATTAACAGATTCATGGTAAACGTTCATTGCCAAGATAACAAGAATGGAAATAAACATTTTTATCCGTCTGTCTTTTTTCCTGTTTTTATTTTACCTGTGCATGAATGAGGAAAACTATTTAAATTATTGCATATTCTAAAATAAATATATAAAAATGTAAATATGATACATTGTTTACATGTCAGTGGGTTTAGGCAAAAAATAAATCTTTCAGATATGAAAAGTGTGTTTTGTTCTCATAATATGTGATTATAGAATTCTAAGTAAATTTGATTCAGAAAGGTAAACATTTATGTACAACAGAGATGTTGAAGTTGGCATTTATATAATGAAAAGGACATGCTAGTATAATCGATTTTGTTTTGAAATGTGCTTGATTTTTTTTTTTTTTTTTTTTTTTTTTTTTTTTGGGGGGGGGGGGGTGGTTGTGGTTGTAAGAAACAATTCTCTTAATGAACATCCATGAGATATCTAATGAATAAACTTGCTGGAAAATTTCTTCAATATTGGTTCAAAATATAAAATACATTATCTTCAATTTCAAATGCCTATAATTTCTCACCTCATACACCTTCAAAAAATCATATTTTGAAAATGAGATATGTGATTTATAATTTAATTAATATATTTTTTAAGTAATTGAAATTTAATTGCAATTCATTGCAAATTGATATTATTGTTATATGATTGAAAATTTTGGCAAAGCAGTTGTAATTTAAATTAAATACTGATCCAATCCCCATGACAAAGATAATAAACTCAGTGCCAAATATTAACAAGTTAAAATTAGTATTTAATGAGCCTGTTCTTTTCTGAATCAGACTTTTTTTCTTCCTCCACACCATACTCTTAATACTTTCATTTGAACTATGCTACATTTGAAGAAAAAAAAAATAGATGTAGATAATATATTAAAAGTGCCTTTTTTTTTCTTTTTGCAAGAATTTTTTTTTTAAATGTCTAATCTGGATGTTGTATATCCCAAAATATTGATTGTAAATATTGTAAATTTTAAAGTCCCTTATAATAAAATCCATTGTTTAGAATGTTGTCTAATCCATCCAATTTCTTTGGAACCAGTGGTGTCCGGATTAGACAAGTTTCACTGTATATCAATTAGCTCAGTTATATTCAGTCAGAGTGCCTTAACAAGACTGTGCAATTATGATGATTAATTTTTTACAATGCATTATATTGTATTGAACACAATTTTTTTCACACATAATCATGAGACATGCTATTATGGTTAATGTAAGGATGGGATTGTTAAAAAAAATTCAGAACTGGACTCTAAATACCACTATGTGTGTAATTCATTGAAAACAGAAAAATGTTTAAATACATATTCTACAAAACTATTGATATATAGGCACAGGATTTTCAGAAGCAGTTTATCAGTTTTTAGCTCTTCTGAGCAAAAGATTCAAAGAGCTAAAGCTATGGCCATTTGTGCGGTGTGCGTAAACTTTTTAGAATATGGGCCAAGTACCCATTGGCCAATTATTGTCAAATTTGTCACAGGGTATCCTTGGCCCAAAGGTTCCCGTTTATACTAAAACTAGGGTTTTGACCCTTAAACAAGGGGAGAAAATAAGGAAATAGAAACAAAAGTACTGGTTGCTAAAAAATCTTCTTCTCAAGAACCACTGGACAGATTATCACCAAACTTACACAAAAGGATGAGGATATGTTGTAGATTGAAATTTGCAAAGGGATTAACCCTGGGACAAAGGGTGTGGTCTCAAGGTCACTTCAGAGTTGACCAAAAATTACATTTTATGAAAATGTTGATATTTTGCTTACTAAGATGAGTAGGATCATCAAATCTTGTCAGTTGATGCATTTAAGGACCTCATATCATGTCGACTCAAAAGTAGGTCACGGTGACCTATTTTTCTAAATTTTGCAGCCATTCTTTTTCAAAATGATTTGAAGACATATTTTGAACAATTTAAGGCCTATGATTATCAAACTTTGTCAGTTGATGTATCTTGGGTCCTCAAAGTACATTGACTTAGAATTAGGTCACCTTGACCTACTTTTTGAATTTTATGGCTAATCTTTTTCAAAACAATGGAGGCCATTAATTCGAATACTGAGAGGTTTAGAATCATTAAATCTTGTAAGATGATGCATCTTGTTGCCATAAAACATATTTATTAAAAAAGTAGGTCAGAGTGACCTACTTTTTGAACTTTGCAGCATTCGATTTGAAAGCATTTTAGAGGCATAATTTGGACATTTTAAGGCCTGTGATCATGAAACTTTGTAAGTTGATGCATCTTGGGTCCTCAAAAACATCAACTGAAAAGTAGGTCAATTTACCAGTATATGACTATAATTAAATATTTCAATTACTAATTGGCTTAGAATCATCAAACTTTGTCAGTTGAATCATCTTGGGTCCTAGGAGTACAACAACTGAAAAGTAGGTCACCTTGACTTTCTTTTCGAAATTTATGGCTTTAATTAAATATTTCAGGTACTAATTGGCTTAGAATCATCAAACTTTGTCAGTTGATGCATCTTGGATCCTTGGAGTACGACAACTGAAAAGTAGGTCACCATGACCTACTTTTGAAATTTTATGGCTGTATTTAATATTTTTGGGTACTATTTGGCTAAGAATCATCAAAATTTGTCAGTTGATGCATCTTGGGTCCTCGGAGTACAACAACTGAAAAGAAGGTCACAATGACCTAATTTTCAATTTATATGGCTATAATGAAATATTTCGATTACTAATTGGCTTAGAATCATCAAACTTTGTCAGTTGGTGCATCTTGGGTCTTCGGAGTAAGTCAACTGAAAAGTAGGGCACAATGACCTACTTTTGAAAATTTATGGTTTTAATTAAATTTTAGGTACTAATTGGCTCAGAATCATCAAACTTTGTCAGTTGATGCATCTTGGGACCTTGGAGTATGACAACTGAATAGTAAGTCACCATGACCTACTTTTGAAATTTTATGGCTGTATTTAATATTTTCGGGTTCTATTTTGCTTAGAATCATCAAAATTTGTCAGTTGTTATATCTGGGGTCCTCACAGTAGGTCTACTGAAAAGAAGGTCACCGTGACGTACTTTTCAATTTATATGACTATAATTAAATATTTCCGGTACTTATTGGCTAAGAATCATCAAACTTTGTCAGTTGATGCATCTTGGGTCTTCGGAGTTGGTCGACTGAAAAGTCGGTCACCATGTCCTACTTTTGAAAACTTATGGCTATAATTAATATTTCAGGTACTAATTGGCTTAGAATCATCAAACTCTGTCAGTTGATGCATCTTGGGTCTGCAGAGTTAGTTGACTGAAAAGGAGGTCACTGTGACCTACATTTGATATTTTATGGTTATAATTTTAAAAAATATTTTAGGCATTAATTTGCTTAGAATCATCAAACTTAGTTGATGCATCTTGGGTCCTTAGAGAATGACAAGTGATAAGTAGGTCACTGTGACCTACCCTCAGGTACTAATGTTTAGAATCATCTTGGTTTCTCAGAGTGTTTCATCAAAAATGTAGATCATGATGACCTACCTTCGGAATTTCAAGTCTTTATCTAAATATACAGGATACTTAGAGACTTCAAATAGAAGTGATAGGTTGTACAGTTTATAAGAAGAGCAATTCAATGCCCTTGGGCTTCTTGTTTTTCTATGCTAGGTATTACAGTGAAGCTTATTGATATTTTTAGAATGAACCCTATTTAAAGATGATGTATTTGTTTTTTAATGCCTTTTTTTTTATTAGAATGAAAGACAACTTGAAGAGTGGAGTAGAAAAATCATCTGTTTTGTTGAATACAGCATAATTTATTTTTGTTGCATTTAAGCATCGGCCTGCTTAATATTGGTATGTTTAATGAAAATAAATAAATAAAGTATTGTACATTGTGCAGCTTTTGTGTCCACAATTTACTTAAAGTGGTGGTTTTCATTTAGCTGTGGCTTTGAAAATGAGGAAGGTATTTTACTTGCAAGACTATATAAAGAAAGCCTATATATAAATCTTCATACAAGCAATTGAAAAAAAAAAAAAAAAAAAAAAGTATCACCCAATGGGTTAAGGTTTTGTCAAAGGTCAACATGTCCAAAAATTTATTTTTACAATAGCTCCAAAGCTATGTGAGGTATAAAGTTAAAACTTTTACAGTTTATAAATATATCATTGATTAACAGATAGAAAGTATCACTTGATAACAAATACTTAAAAAAAAAATATTTATTGAGAAAAATTCTTTTTTAAAAAATGCATATATTTTTTAAAAATGCACCTGCTTAATTCTGTACTTTTAGTGAAAACCATCATTGCATAAATAATATATGTTTATCAATGAAGGGCAAGTTGGACTTCGATAGCCTCTGGAAAGTTGTTTTCCCTGTTTATTTTGTCCAAATGTTAAGATTTGAAACCGAAAGTACATTGCAAATGACGGATTTTATAGGGGTCTTGTCTTTATACATGACATGCTTTTAATAACAGCCTTTCAGCGATCATTCACGTCCAACTTGCCCTTCATTGATAACCATATATTATTTCTGCAACGGGTTTTGGGTAAGGGCAAGGACATATGGGAAAAAAAAAGTCATTAAAATTTAAGCAAAGATTTCAAAAGTATTCAAGTTCAGTCCTCACTTAACCTCATCAATTAAATCATGTATTTCATATGCTGTGCCAAAAAGCAGATTGTAATGTTTGAACTTGGCAATTAGTGGTTTAATTTGATTACCAAGCTGAAAATGTTTTGAAATATTATCTCTCATTTAAGACAATACAAGGTGTTGCTATAATTTATAAAATTTTATTCTGTTTCTCTTAGACTACTTCCCTTCATAATACAAGAAAACTTTTCATATTTCTTTAAAAATTTTGTTAAATTTTCAATCAAAATTAAATACAAGGTTTAAGAACTAATGAACAGGAAGTGTTGCAAAATTAGGATTTTATTTAAAAGGTTTTCTGAATGAATATCCATTCCTCTGTTTTAAGAGAACTTAAGAATCATTTTCCTTGTCATGATACTTTCTGGGTACAATATAAGCATAAACTTGCTAAAATGAAGATACTCATTAACTAAGTCCGAAAAAAATATCCTACAATATATGAGGACAAAAAAAATGGATGCATCCAAATTTGCACTTAATTTTGATTACCGAACTATATATTAAAATTGGGAATATTAAATGTTAAATTTAAGGTTTATTCTTGATGAATACCAATATCAAGGTCAATGGTAATTATATACTTTTCAGCTCATCTGAGCCAAAGGCTTAAGTGAAGCTTTCTAATCAAAGTTTGTCTGAAATGCATCCGTCTGTTCACTAACTTTTTTTTTTTGAAAAGAGAAGTGAAAATTAACGGAATCTTTTAAAAATCTTTTCCAAAACAAATAGGCAAGAAAAGTTGAAACTTAGGCAAAAGGTTAGTTAAATAGTGCATTCAATTTTGATCATTTGATCAAATCATGAGTACCTGAGGATAGAAGGGGGCCACACATAGGTGATCAAAGTGATCAAGTCAGTTCAAATGATGTCCCGGTGTGTGTGTGTTGGGGGGGGGGGGGGGGTATTAAGGTGGGATTACAGTGAGCAATTAAAGTTGTAAACAGGAATAATATATATATATATATATATATATATATATATATATATATATATAGATAGATAGATAGATAGATAGATAGAGAGAGAGAGAGAGAGAGAGAGAGAGAGAGAGAGAGAGAGAGAGAGAGAGAGACTCTTTAAAAAATCTTTTCACTAGGTATTATTAATATGGAAGCATCGTCAGGTAGTGTATATAGGGTAAAAAAAACTATAAAAAGAATCTGATCTAGAACAGCAAAGGTATGTAAAGTCATAAAGATATGGAAGCATCCTTAGTGTAAATTCTAGCTTTTCAAATCATGAGGGTTTGGGTGAGGCACAATGGAAGATCACTGTTTTACATAGCAATATATAGAGTGGAAATCTATAAAAAATCTTCTCAAGAAAAGCAAAAGCTTGATTAGTCATACTGATATGGAATCATCCCAAGGTAGTGTAGATAAAGTTTATGTAAATCATGACCCCCAGAGGAAGGTTTGGGCCACAGTATGTGATGCACATTTTTACATAGGCATGGATAAGAAAACAGCAGGGAGATAGTGACTTCGGTGAGCATTGTGACCTGCAAGTCTTTTGTCTCTTGATTGGATAGCGTATTTCACAACCAAATTCTGTTCTATGACTGAAATAATTTATTGAAATTTAATGACTAAATTTTGGGGATTTTTTTTTTTTCAGATCATGCCACGTAAAGCAAAAAATCTTCTGCAAGAAAAGCATCTGAGCAGCGACTTAGAATGCAGCAGAGGAGAAGCCAGGCCACAGAACAGAGCAACATCTCTATAAAATGTCCAGAAGAGAGCAACATCTCTATAAACTGTCCAGCAGAGAGCAACATCCCTTTAAACTGTCCAGCAGAGAGCAACATCTCTTTAAACTGCCCAGAAGAGAGCAACATCTCTATAAAATGTCCAGAAGAGAGCAACATCTCTTTAAACTGTCCTGAACAGAGCATCATCTCTATAAACTGTTCTGAAAAGAGCGACACCTCTATAAAATGTCCAGATCAAACAGAGAATGAAAAGAGCAACACCTCTATAAAATGTCCAAACCATACAGAAAATGAAACAAATGGAAATGAAACAAACATGTTGAAGAGAAACAAACAAGAAATAGAAAACTTGATCAAAACTGCAAGTACACCATCACTGACGATTCGTAAAGTTAATAGAAAAGAAAACCAAGTCAACTCTGGAAAAGAAAAAAAATGTGGCAGTTCAAGGTAGTTTTCATCAAGGAGATGCCAGGTTTGGAAGATAAAGTGGAAAACAATGTGTTACTAATAGTTTGTCAGCAATAGCTCACAGCAAATTGAAAGATATAGATAAGTGGGATCAGACATATTTGGACAATGTCTTAATTGAAGGAAATGAGATTTATACTTGGATTCATGGAACAAACGAATTGCTATTAATGTCAGATCTACCAGAAATAAATGAAATATCAGGAAAAATGATGCACATTCTGAAAAAAGACTCAATCACAGCAACAATTGATACTACCGGTGTCATTGATTTTTGATAATTGTCTGCCGCTAGATTTGGCAATACAAGAATCACTCATGAACTCTGATGGTTGTTTCATATGTGCCATCAATCAAACCTTTATGGTAATGAAGTTCAACCATGATATGTATTTGTTCGATTCTCACTTAAGAAATAGATTTGGTTTGGTAGATGGAAATGGGAAAAGTTTATTGATGAAGTTGGAGAACTTTGATGATATACATCATTACTGCTGTAATTTAGTGCAAGGTGTAGACCAGGCAAATCTATGGTTTAAAGTCACAGGTGTAAGTGTAGCAATCCAAGATTCTTCGGCGGACAATCTTATGAGCAGCCAAAATATAGTTGAACAAAATTTACCAGACGCATTAACACCAAATGAAAGGTATATTCAACAGTGTGTAGATGATTCCTCAAGGCACCAATTTTCAAATTTCACAGTTTTGTCTGAGAAGGAGGACAAAATAGAAGAATGCAACAATCAATCATTGACAACTTCTAAAGAGGTGGATTTTTTTATCAGAATATGATAAAATTCATTGTCATTCTAATGACTGTTCTAGAGATCATTCATCAGACATAGAAATTCTATCAGAAAATGAAACCTGTCTGAGTAATGACTTTATACCGCTGACAAACAAAAAAAAAAAAAAAAAAAATTATGCTCTATGATGAAAATCCCTTCTAATCAATGTAAAAGACAGTCTGACGTTACATGCAATATGGGATCCCCAAAAGCAACCAAATCAATAGGAATGGATGGCAACTGTCTGTTTAGAGCAATTTCATATGCTATATCAAACAGGCAACAGTACTATCAAAAGGTTAGGAACTCTGTGGTCAACCACATGAAAAATTCTGCCGATGCTTTAAAATCATTTTAAGACCACAATTTGAAACAGTGCAGGATTATATTAGAATCTCTGGTATGGAAAATGATACCACTTGGGGGACTGAACTTGAAATCTTAGCTGCAGCAGATCTATTGAAAACAGATATCTTTACCTATTTGAATGGATCTTGGGTGAAATACTCATCTACTCAAATATGCAGTAGCAATGAAGTGAACGATGAATCAATTTATCTGAACCATGTCAGCAGCAGCAATCATTATGAATGTGTTACATCTGTAAATAGTAGAGGCACTGGTTTGAACCTCAGAGATTCAAGACCAGGAAAAAGGAAACGAAAATTTAAGAGTAAGAAATCTCTCAATGTTTATGTAACAAATCTGAGTAATAGTTTTGACAGTGAGCCAAATGATGAAAGTCAGTTAAAGGGGGAAAAAGAAAAGGAAAAGTAAAAGGCATGCCAGGAATTCAGAGAAATAAAGATAGAGCGTTTGAAAAGGAAATATTTATCGGACGAAAAGCAAAGGGAAAAAGTAAGGAAACGTTCAGCAAGCTATTACGAAAAAAATGAGGAATGCAGAGAAAAAGTAATAAAAGCGAGCAAGGAAAAATATGAAAATGATGATGATTTCAAAGAAAGAGTAAAGAATGCTAGCAAGGAAAAATATAAGAAGGAGAACGAATTCAGAGAAAGAGCAAAGAAAGCGAGCAAGGAGAAATATAAAAAGGAAGACGATTTCAGAGAAAAAGTCAAGAATGCGAGCAAATACAAGTACGAAAAAGAAGAAAATTTTCGAGAGAGGGTTAAGACTGCAAGCAAAAGGAAATATGAAAATGACGATGATTTTAGAGAGTCTGTTAAGAAATTCAGCATCCATAAATATAAAAGTGATGACACTTTCAGGTAAATTGTTAAACAATCAAGCAAA